TTGTGCACTCTTGTGACAGAAAATCGTTACTTTAATAAAGCTTTATTATGATGAGATGATCTTCCAAAATTAGCCAACCATGATAAAGCCCGCTATGCTGGTCATTTCAAAATCCAAATGACCTAATAGGTCATTTGAATTTTATTGGTGGAAATAATGATTGGCTACAACCCAATAATTAACTAGTAAAACCTCCTATAAGTGCACACACACTTTAAGTACATAATCATATTCTGGCCCAAATTATATATAATTTATATAATTGTACTTTTTCTCATTGTTTACTGTAATTCGGGAATATTAGCATGAGCTAGTCGAGAGATGGGCCCTACCTATTTTGTATATTATTGTTACAATTCGCAATGATATAATTTAAGATCTAATTAGGCTTATTTTGCAAATACTACGGCCTTCTTTATTTATCTATTACTATCATAACGTAAAAAATTTTGTAGTAATATTGGTTAATAATAAGTAATAATGCATACTGTATTAACAATCGCCCATCTCTAATTTAAAATCTTATTTTGTTGACCGATGTAAATAAACAATCAATTTTAAAAAAATCTTTAGCTCAATAATCTCATTCGAAGATCATAAAAGGCTCTTTTATATAATTAGCCATTTCTCTTATTCAGTGTGACTATAATATTACATATTGTTTCTGTATCAGTACACAATAAAAATTTATTGTAATTTAAAATCAGGCTGAAAATTTATTGCGAATAAAGTGATTATTGAAAACTTTTAACATACAGTATATGAAAAAAAATGAGAGCCAATAAACCATCTTTGATTAAATAAGCTTCAAGACAATTGGCCAATTCTTCAAAAGAAATTCATAAGAGACTAACAGGTCAAAAAATGATTCTGTTGTTAAAAAATTATTTAATTAGTACATTTAACCTTCTAAATATGTCAAATTATAAAATTATAGATAAGAATATTATATAGATTACTTAATAATAACTTCAAATTGTTGAATCAAGAAATGTTTTAATGTTTTATTTGTTTCGCTGCTATATTCATGTAGATCAATCACGATTCAGAATATTAGATAGTAATTTTTTTGAAACCTCATAATTTTTTTATAAAACAAATGTGTAGTATAAATTTTAATTCATTCTTTAAATCTTAGTGATTACTAAAAAACAAAGGAAATAGGTGCATCTAATGAACTATCAAATAATTCTGACAAATTCCATTTGGCTGACAGATCATCTGTGGGTGAATAATATGCCCACAAAACTCAAATTCAGGCGGTTCATCATCTACAATTTTACCATTTTCTAACCGATTTTCAAGATCTAATATGTAAACCTAGCTCTCAATTATATTTGACCAATTCTCTTTGTCATCGTCGTCAGAAGTTTCAGAATCATCAATTATTTTTCTGCCAGTTATTTCAGTAGTCTCAACTGCTTTAGTTGCTTCACTTTGTTCAATTGACAGATTGTTAGATTCAATTGTTGAATTGTTAGAAGTTGGTGAGCTGACTTTATTGTTATTATTTACGAATAAATCTTCTAATTCTTGTGGTGCATCTTCATTATTGCAAGGTAGAATAGGGGCTGCAATGTGAATTTTTTTAAATTGTTATTCAGATTGTTCAATATTATTACGTTTTTGTTTGCTTAGTATGTCACTGCATAGTTAGCTCATTTACAACACCTTTTTATACTTAAAATGAATTTTAAGTTATTATGTGGATTTAAAATTTGGATAATATTTATATATACTGGCAAATGGTTTCATTATTTTGTATGTAAAAAACCTATTGTTGACCATAACTGTTTAACAGAAGCTGAATTAATGTATATTCCAAATAATTGTAAAGCCAGGCGAGTTAATTCTAGTGCAAAACCCTCTGCTAATTTCCAAAAATCTATCATATTTTCAAATTGATTATAAGTTTCTTTATTAAAAGGAAATGCTTCCCTCTGATATAATAAAAATTTACACAAGATACGTGTTGGCACTTTTCCAAACCATAAATGATAATAATAATTCAGCTATTGACCAAAATATGAATAGAAGAGACCAGAGGCACAGGAAGAAAACTTTGAAAGCTGATATTTTGGATACAAAATAAATGATAATAGAAGTAGAGGTTGTTCCCATTGGGACTATCAATATTCTAAGTGATTTACTATATAATTTGAAAAATTATTATCTTCATGGTCTGCAAAGACCTTAACAAGCCACCCAAAATAGTGTAAAACTTCATATATCCTTGCAATATCTTTTTGAAGTTTATTCAATATGCAGCACAAAGGGAATAGCAAATCTTGAAGATCATAAAGCTGATTTTAAAAGTTAGAATTTTGTATAATAGTTGTAATGTCAGGTGAAGTGCCTTGCTTATATTAGTATTTTCTAATGCAAATCATTGTTGTTATTGTCCGCTTCACGATATGCTAATTGCACTGATTCTTGTTGGAGAAAATTTTGTTATGAGTATCTGATCATATAGAATAAATAAAAATAATTACATATTAGTATTGTTATACTCTTGACCCACATTAACATTAACCTCATTAATATTAACCTAAACAATAAAACGAATTTCTATATATTAAAATTATATCAAAAATCTTATTAATAATAAATACTTACTTTAAGCATAGCTTCAGTTTTTAATATGGAATGAAAGCAAAAATAAATGCTGTTTAAGCGTGTCTTAGCCAGTATAAAGAGAGAGATAAATTGTCTATAACATGATCTTTGCTCATCTCGTAGCAATCTGGTAAAATATGATGATGAGTAGAAATAGCTTACAACATGTATAGCATTTTTTAATGCCTTTTTATATATGTTGGACTCTTTGAAAATATCTCTGATGACTAAGTTCATTTGATGTGCAATACAAGGTATGAAAACCTTATTAGGATATTCGATTCTTAGCTGTTATCTATTAAAAAAATTAAAGTATATATAATTAAGCAAATTAATAAATTAGAGATGTTACCCTGCTTCATGTAATATAATAATTTTCAAATAGCTTGTTAAAAATAGATTGGATTAATTTTTTCTAACAAGTAATTTTATTCAAAAAGACACTAGTAATGGGTTTGGTTAGTAGCAAAAAATTAAAAAATCATACTTGAAGTGAGTAATTGCTTTCAAGCAGTTTTAAGACAAACCAGTTACATAATCGAGTTTTAAATGATAATATCTATTTTAAATTACTAACTGCCATTAGTGAAGTATATTCTTAAGAGCATTATTAATAAGTTTAATTAGTCACATATCAAAAAAGTAATCATAGTAATAATGAGCAAATTTCATTAAGCAAATTTGAGTATTTTCAAGCAGAATAACATCCTATAATAGATACTAAATACTACTAACCTTGCGGCAGCATATTTGCTAGCCGAATCTGATATATAGCAGTTAATTTTTATACTCTCTATTTCTGCATTATCTATTATATTTTTAATTAAAAGTTTTATATCTTCAGTTCTTGATCATTAATTACTAATATTGCATGTGTTTCAGACTAAAGCTTCACCCTGAGAAGTTATCAAAATGATGCCGAAAAGGTGCTCTTGCTTTATA